TGCTGCTATTTTAAGGGGTAGCTGTGTTTTAGCTGGCTTAAACACTTCTGTCTGTATGAATTAAAAAAAAAAAGGTTGGACTGTTTATATAGGATCTATAGACACTTATGCTTATTTTAAGGCTGGCAGGTGGAGCCCAAGATAATTAATACTGTTTTGATACTTGAAGTTACTTAAAGAACTGTAATAACATCAAGCAGGGTTGATGGGTGACAAAAAGTTCTTCTGTCAAAGCAGTCGTACCCAATAATAATCAGTATGGATTGTAGAAAGGCATCAAAGTGTTAAAAATATTTGTCCCTCTAGTTAATTGTAGTGAGTTAACGAATTTACTCTGCTGTTTTCTGACTGGCAGTTTTTGTGTAAGCTTTATGTTGACCAGTAACTTCGCACAAACAGCTGGACTGAATTGATTATTTGAAGGGAACTCAATAAATCAGCTAATGGAGCCTGAAACCTGTTTATTAAAATAGTAGTCTTATGAGTGATTAATTGTCAACAGGTTTTTTGAGTAATCCATTTAATTTTCTAGCAGGACACCTAATGAATACTGAGAGCCATAACTCCATAGTCAGCAAGAGTAGCCAGTGACAGTTGTCCATTAAAATTGTATTTTATATCCTTCCTTTCACCAAGTGTGCTTCTTTGCACTTTGTCCAAAAAAAAAAAAAGTAAGGGTTACCTACCGTATTCATGCTAATGGTGTAAATGGGTACCTCTCAACTGTAGATTTTGAAGGGATCTCTTCTGAGCTATGAGTGTTGTTTGTGAAATAGTCTGGCATGCCTTAATATTTATAAATGTCAATTTTGATGCTCACACTGAGGAAAAGGTGAAAAGAATGAAGCTATTTTTATTTCTGTCTTTGAAGCAGGGACCAGTGAAAAATAGTGTACAGTATTATTCTAGTGTATTGGTTGCTCCATGAACCACTTTGTTAATGCATTTTATTTAGTGTGTTTTATGGATGTAAGTTAATTTCTGATGGGCAGACAGTAATATATCCTTGATAGTAGAAGCTGTAGCCCTTTGTCTTCTGAAGGACATGCAAAGTTGTAGTTAGAATGAAATCACTTCTGAAACTGAATTGTAAGTCACTATCTCATTTTTATAACAAGTCGCTCAACAAACAGGCAAGAAATCTCTCAATCTAGATTTATTTTTTAGTATAGCTTTTTGGTACATGTCTTAAAGACAAATTAAAGCTCTTTGAGATTATCTGTTCTTTATTTTAGCAAACGTAATCTGTCCATTTTTTTGTGGGCTTCCAAGGAAGATTTTGCAACATGAATTCTCAGAGCCATGGTTCAGTTCAGTCTTGTGCTGTCGCTTCTTTTGTGAAGACTTTTCCAGTAGTAGCTCAGGTCCTTTTGGCATCAAATGTGTGTCATGTGAGACGCTGGCTAATACTTGGCTCTGGTGTCTTTCTGGTTCAGAGACAAAAAATTTACTTCCCTTGTAGGCTGCAGATTTGGGGAGAAAAGGAAAAGTTAAAACACAGATTTGAACTGTAAAATTGAAATGTGCATAATTGAAATCCCATGCATGTGATAAACTTGATTCTTTTGGTAGAAGTTCAAGTAGCAGTAGCAGATCAAATAATGTATGTTAAGAGTTTGCATGGTCAAAAATGTGACTGACATGAGAGTGCCTCTTCAAAATGCTGTTACCAGTTTTAGCTTTCCTAACTGCTTATGTTAAATACGGCTGTTGATGTAGCGACTTATACACCACACTGTAGAGATGCAAATAAACACAGCCTGCAACTCTTACTGAGATACTGTGTGCTCAGGAGAGGGTGGAGCAGTTGTCTACAGAACTTGGAGCAGGGAAGAGGTCTTGCCCAGCTTTGAGCCTGATGCAGCACAGTTGTTCATTGACATTCTTCCTGCTCCCAATTTGATGTTCAGTCAAATAGTTGTCAAGGATGGAATGCTGTCTCTATTTACTTGTGGAGCTGTCTGCGAGAAGATTGTTTGAGGAGCAGAACAGCAGCAGTCAGCTAAAGTAAATCTCTGTTCTTAGTTTGGCATTTATTGCAATGTTCTAACTGTAATGTTGGGAGTGGGGACTGAAAGGTTTCGTCTGTGCTAATTTGAGTCTCATCATTAATGACTTCAGCAAAAAGATTCACTTTTTGAAGGGGCTGGGGAATACTTCCTGTTTGATTTCTGTGTAGCCTGTGCACTAAATTACGTAAACAATAACCACTGTGAGACTTGCATCATTTGGGAAAGAGGGGTGACTGTTACTTGCCCCAGCCTTGCTGGAGGCTTGTGTTATATGTGATTGTGCATCCCTGAGAGGATTATTTGGGAGCCCAGTCTTCTAACAGGAAGAATCTGCCAGACTTGACAATACCGCAGGTTCCTGCAGTTAGCCAATGTGTCGTTCATGTACTGGGCTGCTTGGATTGACAAGCGTATGGTAGGGACGTGTTTGGAAGGTGTTGTAGAAGGAATAGAAGTGGATAATCTTCACAATTATGTTCTGGCTGCACAATAAGCATGCTGAAGAACCTGAGTAATGAAGAAACCCATCTTCCATGTTCCTCTGTGTAGGAGTTGGTCCAAAAAGGAGCATTGTCTCAACCTTGTCGTCAGGAATATGGACTCCGAAAGTTAGGCTAGCATTCTGGGGACACAAAAGTTACCAAACAGAAAAATAAATGTCCAATGAGAAAGCAAGTATGTAAAGGCAGAGTCAGTTTGGAGATGAGAGGAGGACATAAAGCCAGACAAGACGATTCTGGACAGAGACAAGACACAGTTAAGAGAAAGTTATCTGGTGCAGAATAAAGAACAATGTAATGTTCCAGAGGAGAAATCATTAATAGGAAGATCTGCAATTTAAATCCCTTCTTGTAGAAGAAACAGTATCTTGAATAAAGAAACAGAGTTAGGGTATGGCATACAGATACAGCCTGGATATCTGGACAGCATCAGAAATTTGAGGTAAAAAAATAAGTGTAAAAGGTCTCAGAAATACCTAGAGTTGTGTTATGTTTTAACTGTATTGTCTGGAAATGGCACTGTGCTGTAGATCATAAGCTGTCTGTTGATCTAGGAAACTTGTGCTCTGATTTGAACCATGACTGTGATTTTGTTTTGCTTCAGTTTCTTTTTTTATTTAAGAGTTGGAGTGGAAGGTGTGAACACCTCAGTGTTGTTTATACTTAGTGACATAAAGCAGCTAAGGTACAAGATCCCAAGTTTTGTGAAAAGTGAACAAGATATGTAGACGATCCAAGTCTTCCAAAACTGGTAGTTTGGTTGTACGATTTTGGTATAATTGCAGTCTATTGAAAATTCAGCAGCAGGAGTCTGAGAAGGATGATAACATAACACCTTCTTAAAACTGATTAGATTTTCTAAATAAAGCTGGCTATGGGTCTTTGTAAACACCTAGCTAGTCAGTCAGTTATCCAAAGTTCAAGTCTGCATATTCAATTTATGATTAATTTCTAAACTAGTTATTTTTGGGATTGACTTGTTAGAGATGAAGAAAGCCTGTAGTGTGATTTAATTCTGTTTTCTCTAATGCCTTATTGTGTAACCTGTTAAACAGAACATAGTAGGGATAGCTTGGCTATTGCTGCTTTTAGCCAGGAGACTATGAAGTCATCTTGGGAAGGAAATTCTTTTGTCACAGAACAGAATTTAAAATACTTTGTGAGATAGAGGTATACACAAACACACACACTTCCTTGCACTAATTTTCTTGTACCTTTGCAAGTGTGTCAGTAGTCTTGTGCCTCTTTTTGAGTTATTTAATTTCCTGCAATGGAAGAGTCTCTTTGCAGAATATTAGATTGCAAGACTGAACTTGTTGGGCCGCGATAGCAACAGCAGGCTAGTTGTAGTGCTGAACTGTCACTTAAAGGGAGCCAGCAGCTACTGGCAAGATGTTAGTATAAAAAAATCTGTATAAATGCTGCACTTGTAGCTCTGCTTCTGATGATATGAAATGTAGTCAAGATCATCCATTTCATGATATCTTTTAAGGTAAATGATGTGGAAATTAAAGAGCAGGAGTGACACTTTTTACACATCTGGAAGTATGGTTGAAAATCCTACTTTTTGTACAGACATTGCTTCAGTCTCTGTGTTGCTCAGATAACCTTAGAATTGTGGTGTTGAATTCTGCCTGTCCCTCTCCCCTCTTCGCCTATGTGTAAAACTCATGCATAGAAAAAGCTCTCGGTAGCAGTAAAACGTGGTTATGTGTGGTTGGTTGGTAGCATTCTGATAACTGTTTTAGCAGCCACGAAAAGTGAAGATCAGGCTGCAGTTTTATTACCAGAAAAATTTTCTCGGGGCAACACAAAATATTTGAAAGCTGTTACGTGGTTTCTGAAATAGAAAGCACATTTGTCGTGCCATCTGAGCATGGCCAGAATTTTAAACGTACCGCAAGTGCTGGAAACTGTTCATCAAAATGTACACTTTGGTCCAGTATATTTTTTGTTTGTACCTAATGTTTTTCTCTATGGTATACAATGATACTTTTTCCTGGACTTTGATAATAGCTTGGCCTAAAGGATACTTTATTTACAGGTTTGGGAGTGTCTTTGATCAGGCCTTTTCCAGCTTCTGCAACAGTTTGAGTCTTATTTTCTCCTTTTATTCTAACCAAAGCATTTTGTCATACTTAAGAGGTGTGGGGGGAAGTAGTGGTACTTCATTGTTAATGAGCAGAGAATTACATAATAGTCTTTCTCTCATATATTGCTAGCACTCTAGGCTTTTGTCAGTATTTTACTGATTGTTTTTTCTTTCCTAAAAACCTGAATTAACCAAGAATAATTTTGAAACAACTGCCATAAGAATTTTGGTAGTAAACCATTCATTGAAACAAATCTATTCTGGAAGTTCTATTTTATTTATTTATTTTTGTTGTGAGCTGTTAGTGAGAACATTGCAATATTTAAACTTGAGCATAGAGGCAAGGTTATCTCTCTATAATTTGCAGTATAATAGATAACCTTTATTTGCTTTGTAGGCAATTACAGAATGACCTTGCACTGAGCCTTTGTGGAAGAAGCAAGATTTGAACATCAGTTCTTCAATGTGCATCCTTTTATTCAAATTTGACCCACGACCAGTTTCAAAAAATGCATACAGGTAAACGTGGTTCTATTTAAAACAGACTTGTTTATAATTTTTTTATACAATTTCTTTTAGCAGCTGATGAATGAATTACAAACTCAATTTGTATTGCATGTCTTATGTATTTGATTATGCTTTCGTAATGTTTAACTTCATTACTTTCCCTGTTGGAGTACTTACTGTAACCTTTTGAGAACCCTTTGTTTTTAGACTAGGTCGGAAGACTTGGGCTTTGTAATCATGGACCTTTTGCTGGTGATCTATCATGCAGTGTAGGATAAATCCTTTAAATACTGTAATCCAGAGTTTGAAAGTCCTGCCATCTACTTTATTGTTTAAACTAAGAGGAATTGTGTTTGGTTTAGGGCATCACAGCTGTAGCTGTACCCTTCTTTCAGTAGGGTAGATAAGTTTAGGGCTTTCAGTTTGAAACCAACAATTTCAATTTAGCCTGGAAAGTAATAGGCAGACAGTAGAGAGGAGTATTGCTGTCATTAACCGCTCTGTGTATTAATTTCATAGAATGGTTTGGGTTGGAAGGGACCTTGAAGATCATCTAGTCCAACCCCCCCTGCCATGGGCAGGGACACCTTCCACTAGACCAGGTTGCCCCAAGCCCCGTCTAACCTGGCTTTGAACACTCCCAGGGAGGGGGCAGCCACAGTTTCTCTGGGCAACCTGTGCCAGTGTCTCACCATCCCTGTAGTGATGAACTTCTTCCTAATACCTAATCTAAATCTCCCCTCTTTCAGTTTGCAGCCATTACCCCTCGTCCTATCATTACAGTCCCTGATCAAGAGTCCCTCCCAACCTTCCCTGGAGGCCCCCTTTAGGTACTGGAAGGCCATTAGGAGGTCTCCCCAGAGCCTTCTCTTTTCCAGGCTGAAATTTCTCCTCTGTTAATATGTGCTGGTCCAGTCTTGTAAGCCAAGCAAGCAGTGTGCTATGAATCCAAAATCCTGTTTATGTAGCTTATGGTTAACTTTGAATTGCCAAGTTGTCCTGTTTCCTCCCAAGGACAGTACCTTCTTGTTCATTGCGTAGTTCACTAGTCTATTCCATGTTAGATCATGGCTACCACTGCTTGCTCTCCCACTGTGTTTTTGATGGAACTGGCTAGTTTGTGAATAGGTGCAGTTGCTTTTTAAAATACGGATAGATGAAATCAAGGTATCCTCACAGTTATTTATGTCTATCAGTTTGCTTTTGGGACAAGGTGAACCTAAAGATCTGCAGTTGCTGCTTGTCTTAAAATTAAGTTCTTACGATTTCAGAAAATGCTAGAAATCAAATCTTACTGCTTTTAAACTGATTATACTCCTGTATCAATGTAAAATAAGTACTGCTGTGAACTGGAGAACAAGAAAGTTTTAGTAAGTGTCCTAGCCTTCCTCATCCCCCAAATCTGCTTGCAATTAAAATTTTAGGTAATAAATTAAGTCACATGTATGTAAAGTTCAGCTAAAAGCTTAAGACGAAATAAGCATTCATGCTTCTAGGTGAGTTTTACTGGTTGTGTTGATGTCATACAGTCAGTTTCCCAAACATTAAACTTCCTGTAATAATTTTCTGTCTTGTTACAGCCCTTAATTTTAAAAGTTCATCTCCAGCATCAGGATCTTTCAGTACATTCAGTACGTAATAGAAAGATAGCACTTCAGGCCACTAAGAAGACTGTAGATTTCTATTTCTTTCCATATTTATGTGTACTGCGTAGGTTACGTATTGCTTTGTGGTACAAGTATTGGTATCCAGAAGCTGTTAGTCAGTCCGCTCATTGTGCCTTTCATTGACTTACCTTTCTGCCCTTTTGTATTGAGAAGCAGATGCCATTCTATAGAAAGAAAGGAAATGAGAACCAAAACTTCAATTGTCCGTAGAGCGCACTCCTCTCTGCGTCTGATATCTGCCTTAAAAGGGTTTTTGTTTAAGATGTGACTGTGCTGAATTAATATATCCATTTATTTGGTCTGACTTTCTTTGTGTTGCTAGTTAGCAAAAGACAGATTCATCAATTTGATGCCTCTTGGGAAAATCCTTTGGATATAAACTGTAGTTGCTTGCCAAGTGAACTTTCTGCCACAATCAATATTTAAAAGTAAAACCTACAGGAGTTTGCTTGCTATAAAAAATTGCATCAAGATTGAAATTATTGATTTATAGCAGAAACTAACTTGTTACCAGTGTCAAAATAGGAAAACACTTTTGAGATGTTTTGTCCCAAATTCGGGAATATGTAATTGTGTTTAACTTTCTCAGTACCTTTTGTTAAGCAGTGTCTTGCTCTATACCTCTGAGATAAATTACTCTGAGCCATCTGTTTTGATGATAAGTGCCAGGCTATAGTATTCTTGGTGTCAGATTTTAGTGTCAGATACATAACTTTAGTCTCTTTTTTTTTTTTCCCTTTACACACACCATAAAAAAAATCTTTGTTTTTCTTCAGAAGAACATTGAAGTTTTTAAAGTTGTTCCTAAGGGGTTTTCACCTTTGCCTCAGCCTTTTGAAGAACATAGGTCTGCTTATTGGTTGTGAACAGTACCCAGTGCTCTTAATTCTCTGAACAATATTATAGCCATTAGACCAAGGCTATATAGTCTCTATACTAGTCTCTTGTAAGCGTAATTTTTCCTGACAACGTGTGTGTGTTACACTATGCTATAGCTCTGTTTATTTCACAGTGGGGGAACAGTTTTCCCAACCAAAAGGGGATTCCTGTACCTGCAGACGTACTAAGTTGTCTGTCCACATTAAAACAGGTATCTACAATCACTTTTCTTACCGTCCTTTACTTTGCATCTCTAACTAAAAAGAGTCTAAAATAGGCATTAAAAGTTGAAAAGATAAGCTGCATATCATTGGCCATTTTCTTGTAGCCGATAAACTTTCTCAAACTAAAACATGTTCTCCATAACACTTAGGAGAATCTTCCATCCAGGTATACTTTGGTTTCTAGAGCGGTACATTGGCCAATTTTCATGAGCACCTAGTTAAGCAAAAAGCTTACAGTTCACCCTTGTGATACACTAGTGAATCTGTCTTCCTGTACCCTTGCAACTTGCTGTTTTACCCTTTTTCCTCTGTTATCTCTACAGGCCTATTTGTAGTAAAGTTTAGTGTGGTGTAACAAACACTTTACTGTAGTCCATTATTATTGTCAAAGGTAATATGCTGCCTTTACATCTTTCTGAACTATACTGTGCGCATCTCACAAATAAATACATGTTTCAAGCTTCAAAGCTATAATTAGAGTCTTTTTTATGGAACTGAATTACATTGTAGGAAATTGCTTTAATGGAATGATTTCTCATGTTTTCATCTATGCCTCAACTTAAAATATATCTTAATATGTAAATCCTAATACATCTGAATTATTTCAGCTATAAAAATAGCTGAATAGGCTTTTTGCAATTTATTAGAAGGTGAGGGTCACTTAATACCGCTCCTTTTCAGTGTGATTATGTTTCATAAAAGACAAAATGAAGATGTTTTGATTATAGTGATCTTGTATACTAGCCTAGTGCTAAATTTAGGAGTCTGTATTAGGCTTGAGATGGGGAATATTCAATCACACCAGAAAGACTTTGCTTATTTTTAGTGTTTAAATACTATAAACAAACCATGGTTTCATGTCAAGCATTATTGAAGGCGAAATATAATTGGAGCTTCAGGAAATGAGAAATGGAGTTCAGCCAAACTATTTTTTAACAGTAGAGATGTTTATTTAAATAAAAATCTGTAAAAGGAGGATGCGTGCTATAAATGGAGGGTATTCAAGCAAGATGACAGAAATTTGGTAAACCAGCTGCAAGCCTATAGATCGAAGACTAGAATCAACTAGAAGAGGAGAAGTAACATAAGTCTGAAAGGAATGATATTATTATTTGGCATGGGAAAAATAAAAATGTATGTATACACTGTGCTGTCCAAGAGATGCTATCTCAGTTGGGCAAAATACTAAGCATCTTCCTTACAGAAAGGATGTCATTGAAGTGTTTAGTCTTTTTCGGTTTCTTTGATTGTAATTCTTTATCTGTAGTATTTCTAATGTGCAACTGGTGTCTCGTGATCATGTTTTAAAACATTGTGTTAATGAAGAGATGAATTTGCAGGGAAGTCTAGAAACCTACTGAAAATACCAGTGTATTTGAATGCTCAGTAATGAGATTTCATTGGAATTGATTCTTGTGTGTTGTGGCTTAAAAACTAAAATGAAAATTGCATGGTCAAACTTCGGTTTACGATAGCAAACTTGGCTTCTGCTGTGTAAATGTAATTGACATGTGACTGGTAGGAGGACCTGACAGTGAAAAAGCTACTGAGGTTATAGGAAACTGGTTAAGAAAAATCTGCGGGTTTGTGAAAGATGGCATTTCATTAAAATTACAGCAACATAGCTGGAGAGAATGGGGGATGCTTACAATCTTGCAGCTGAAATAAAGGCAAGTCATGTCATGGCTAATAATGAGCAGGACTTCGGAAGCTCTAGCTGTTGGATTACAGCATGGTGTGGAGGAGCTGCATACAAGTGCGGCTGCAGTCACCTGTGGCCCTGAGGTTCCAGCATATGGCTTGCCTCAGGTTACAGTTGTCTTTTGCCCTTTGCTTGGATCAGCCAAACCTATTAACTGCTCTTCAGGTGAGGATGTTCTACCAGTGAAAACCACTCTTTTTTTTTCTTTTTTAAATTCCAAAATAATGACTGAGAAAAGATTGATGGAAGAGCAGCATCAAATGAAAGCTCATCTGCAAGTTTGAAAATGGCAGCGTCTGAATGCCGATTCTCAGCAGAAAATCCCAGTAACAATTCTAACTCAAGCTTTTGTTCGTAGATACCCTGCATCTTTTTGATATTGCAATAAATCATTAAATTTAGTTTCTGATGTCATCTTCCATTGGTTTTGGATAACAGAAAATGCTAACTTTCTCACTTTTTCAAAAGATGGATGTGCATAGTCAGATTAGTCAAGACTTTTCTTTCTAGTACTCCAGTATTAACACTGCTAATGAGATGACTGTAGCATGCAGTTCAGTAAGGTATTTGTATGATCTGTACAAGTTGCTTTGTTTTAATAACTTCTGCTATATGAAATGGACAGAGAAACAGTTTTTGCTTTCCAAAGGCCAAGAATGGAGACTGTTCTAAATTCCTCTGAAGCTGTCTGGCTGTACTGACTCTCTAAATCTCACCTGCTTTACATTCACAGCCTCACTGGCTTGAACTGGTGTTATCATTCAATTTGACTGATCTGTATTGCTGCCAAGCCTGTAACTTTTGAGGAAGACCTGTCTGATCTTGTATGTCCGCTTCTTGAATATCATGTTGAACTTGGTCTTTCAAGTATGCAGGTGCCATTTATGATAATTAGCAAAGTACAGAGATAACTATCAAAGTAAAAAGTACATGTTTTCTAAAATTATTAAATTTTAGATGGCATGTGAAGAGCTGCAGCATGCTTTTTATCAGGACAGCACTTGGTCTTATGGAGTGATGTGTTTATTTCTAAATATAAATAATGGATTTCATCTGGAAACATTTTTCAATTGCATGATATTTTTCATAACTTCTTCCACCTGATTGTGTAGCCTCCAGGGCTGCTTCTGTTTTCTTTGCTGCAGGGGCTGACTCTCATTAACGATTCAACTATTTTGTCCTACTGTTCTGGTAGAACTCAGATTATGCAAGCAACTACACACACAAACACACCCCACCCCCCACCCCCAACAAAAAAGAAAGGGGAAAAGCCACACCAAAATACCTCTAGATTGTTACCCATGCCTTTTGCCTTTACTTCTCTGCCTTCTTGAGCATGCTGCTGTTTCTTCAAATGTATTTCAGTGGGGTTGGACCTTTGAGACTCACAAATTTGTCTCTGGTCTGGGTATTTACAGACAAAAGCATCTGACTTGTATCTTTGAATCACATAAATAGAGCTTTAGGTGTCAAAGTTAGATTAAAAAATACTGTAACTACATCATCCTAAGTCATGATTCATTAAAAACAAACTGTCATGCTTCAGATTTTTTGCTAAGTTACCTATAAATCTGTGGGTTACCTTTAAATTTTCTTTAATTAAACTGTAACTTCACATGCTGAGGAATTTTAAGATTGAATTAAGATCATGAAAGCAATCTCCTGCGTTGTAAGTATTATTCTTTGAAAATAATAGCTGCTTCATTCACACACAAGATAGACTTGCTGAATGTCTCAAGACAATGAGAGAGAAGGCTGCTGTCAGATGTCATTTGACCTTTACACTGAGTGGTAAAGGTGAGATGGGAGGACAAAGGATGGTTTCATGTCGAAAATGAGCTAATGCTGTGGCAAGAATTGGATTCTATTCCTGTGTGTACTGTGAAGTTCCTATTTGTAAGTGACAGTATCTTTTTCCTCTTGTATTCTACAGGCTTATTCTAGCAGCTAATAGAGATGAATTTTACCATAGACCATCCAAATCAGCAGATTTTTGGGACAGCAGCAATGAGATTCTTAGTGGTATGTATGTCTTGTTTTGAGTGGTTTTCATATAATTTGTAAAGTAATATAGCCTGTATTTTTTTGTTATTGGGGTGGTGCATTTCTAATGAGAAACACGCTTCTCTACTTCTGGGGAAAATATGTCATAAGTTTGAAAGATGAGTTGTGCTATTACTATCTTATGTGTTCTAGTGTCTTGTGGGTTTTTTTCCCAGTTTTATGTTCTTTAACTGATTTCAGCCTGAGCAGTGCAGTGGAAATATATCAGAATAATTTGTCCATCACAAATGATTACTTTAGCTTTGTCAGATACACTGCAATACTCCTTAAAATAAGTGGAATTAGTTATTCTGCAGACTCATTGTCTGTAATAGTGACTTAAAATCATTAAATCAAGCCTCAAGAAAATGAAAACTTTCTCATTTCTTACCAGTTAATAATTTGTAGGCTACACGATAATTTTAGTTACTGATCCATCAGTTCATTAGCTTTCTAGTGTCTTTTAGTGTCTACATTTTGCTAAACTGATAGTACAATTGCTCGGCTGTCTGGTTCCCCTTTGTTAAGGAGTCTCTCTGTAGCCATTTTAAAGTATAATCAATACTTCTGCCTTTTCTCAGAAACAGAAATAAAGCTGTGGAAGACAAAGCATTGTTTAAATGCAAATACTCTTTGATGCTGTGTGTTGTTGTCATTGGCAGGGAGGCCTGTGAGGATAAATTACTCCCATTGCACTACAACTCCCTTGCTTCTGGATGACGTTTCTGTTTTGTGCCAGACATTCTGGGTGATACTTTCTGTGCTATATAGCAGTTTAAAACAAATGAAAACCTATCCTGAAAGCTGAAGGGCCCTGAAATTTTGTCTTTTATACCCTTGTCAGCTCTGTCTGTGTTTTGCATAAGAAACTGGTATATTCTCCATCCAGGGGGTGTATCTGTGGAAATCCCATGAATATATGCCTTTGAGTTAATAACACTGAAATGAATGCAGCAAGTTGAACCAAAATAAATCTGATTTATTCTTTGTGTGGTTTAAAAATGAAAAAAATATTTTGCACTCATAGCAATTTTGGAAAACAGGAATTGCTATATGTTAATCACTGGGCATTGGTCAACAAAGCTGTATGTTTTTCTTTTGTGTGCCTTTCAGTTAAGGTAGAGAACAGTGGTAAAAGTATAGTGTAAAGATGTTGTATGGCTAAACTAGATATTGAAGTTTTGGATACTGAAGAAAGAAAGGAGTTTCTGAATAAGGATCCAAAACCTGTTCTTTTGATCTTCTAATGAAAGTTATCTTATGACATGATGATTCATAATTAAAAGTTTTCTAACAGTATACATGTTATATTGAACTGTTCTTGTTTTTCCATTAAATGCTTGCCAGTTAACATGAGCTCATTACAAATAGGTAGCGATTGGGGTTTTTTGACTTATACTGTCTTTCAAGAGGTTTGGTTGTGGGCTTCACTTCTGTGGATCCCCCTCCTCGATGTAAATGACTGTTACCAGAGTCCAAAATTTTTATCTTGTTACTAAGCTTACTCTAAATTTTTCTAGTTGCTTGCAAATTTAAACTTGCGAATAAGATTAATCTTCTGAGATTTGCTTTTTGAGTTAACAAGCATTCTGAGTCTACTTAGTTTTGTGTGTGTTTTAGCATATATACAAAGCTTATAATTTTGCTTTTACATTTAATTTTCTCAGTAACTCTCATCTATTATTGCAGTAGCTTGGAAAATACTTGATAGTGCAGGACTGGAGGGTAGGTAATTTAAGTGAGCTTACCTCACTTGTCCAGAAAGAGAGTCTTGTACCTGCTGCATTTTATCCAGCCTGATCAAGCCTCGGGATTTGCATTAAGAAATTCTGATTTAAGATTGGGATTTTTTTTAAATGAATGTGATAGCCTAACTCTTACTTATTCCATTAGGTCTGGATATGGAGGAAGGAAAAGAAGGTGGAACGTGGCTGGGAATTAGTAAAAAAGGCAAGATGGCAGCCCTGACAAACTATATGCAGCCAAAGATTGATAAAAATGCAAAAGGAAGAGGTATGAAGGAGTAGAAATAGAAAATGAAGAAAGTGGACGAACGAGCCCTGGTGTCCCAGTAAAATAGTGATGATTTACAGTATTAATTTTTTTACACCACGTTATGGACAAACAAAACTGTTATGTTCTGCAAACAGAACTTGTGAACTGATGAGTTTGAGTACCTGTGGGGCACTTGGCTTGGATAATGATATTCTAATCAAGCAGGCAAAATTACAAGATGGAGTGCCTTGAGCCTGAAGCTACATTCAGACAAGAAATGAAGCACCAACTGTCTTCTCTTGAAAGTAGTTCTAATGAGCAGTCAGAACTACTAGACAAGCATTGAGCTAGATTTAGATTACAGTAGACTTTTTTAAATGCTTATGTTCTTCTTCAAACACCTAAGCAAAGGAAACAGTGCAACTTAAGGCTAGCCTAAAAGATTATTGTAGTCTCTTTTCCCCTACACATGGATAAATCACAGGAGCAGATGTAATAGGAAGAAAACTTCATCTGAAAGAGCGTGTCTGTGGGTTTTTGTTTTTTTTTTAAGTAAAAATAGGTCTGTTTGTAACTGTCGTATGGGACTGCATTGGGAATACATTGCCATGGCAAAACATGTTATACAGAGAAAGAAATGAACCATGTCATTTGTATTTCATTTCATATATCATGGAAATGATGCAAGACAAGAAAGAGTTAGGCAAGGTGGGAGGAGAGGAAAGGCACATCCGGTGTTTGTAAATACGGATTCTGTAGAAATTTTGACCAGGAGTTTTTGACCGAATTCTTCAGAGAAGAGTCAAGCTCTTAATGTGAACATGATGCATTTTAGAGGCTGGTTGGTGGTTTATGTTTTGGTTTGTTTGTTGGTAGGGTTTATTCACCCACTGTTGTACCCTGTTGGTAACAGGAATCTTGTGTCTTACCGTTTATTTTACCAAGCCTGTCAGAATAGTGAGTTCACACATACAAGTTGCTCTATGTACTTCTCTTTCTTAGGTGCTCTTGTAACAAACTTCTTGACTGCAGATCTGGACAGCTACTCTTACTTGAAGAAAGTTTCAGTAGAAGGACATCTTTACAATGGATTTAATTTATTAGCAGCTGACTTGAAGTAAGTCTACAAAGCGTCAGTTCAAATGTCAAAGGGAGAAAGATAACAGAAGTGATGTAAATATACTTCTTAGCACAGAAGTGTAACAGTACAGAAGCCTGTCACAAACTAAAGCTAGAACTCTTCTTTTTTGCTGAATAACATGTAAGGTCCTAATGTTACTCTAGTCATTATTTCCTTTGTTATTTTTTCATCTTTCAAACGCTGGAGGGCTACCTTGTATTCTGATCACTGCTTCCCACAAAACTTCTTGCAAGGCCATAGTCAATCTTTACCCTGAAGGCTATGTGGCTTATGTTTTGGAGAAAATGAAACCTTGGCTCTATAATTTCTCTTTTTTTTTTTTCTTTTTTTTTTTGTCTCTGAGAGGTGGCATGCTGTGGCAGAATTAGAACAGCTGAAAGCTTTCAAGCTATTATTCCTGTCACAGTGGCTATATCATTACTCTTTGCTGAAACATTAAAAAAAAAAAAAAATCAGCACGTAACAAATGTTAACTTCAAGTTTCTGCAGCTGAAGAAAGGGCATTGGGTACTTGATTATAGTCAATGTGGTTGTCATAGTCCTTTCCACTGCACATGCATGTGTGTGCACACATGTATATATGCTGATTTTTCTTTGCGTTATGCCTGATTCAAAAGAATGGAAATCCAGGGCTAAGACATCTCCAGGCTATGTATCAGTTCTCGGTTAGATGCATATTTCATGATCATAAGCAGGTATAAATTGCCAAGAGCATGCTACTGCTTTGGCCTACTTTCTGCCGAAGCATTAATCTTACTAGACAACCTGATGGTGCAGGGCCTTCTCCCACTCAGCTTTTCTGCATGCTTCTGGGAAACTACATAGCCTAAAAGCAGAAGGTCATAGTGTTTCCTGTTTTCACTGAAAATAAATTCTAGCACCCTATCACTAACTGGGCTTGTGTTTACATTTTTTTACTTTCTGTATTAGACCTCCTTCAGCTGGTGGTTCAGACTTACCAGTCATTTCTTCCTTACTCTCCCACTTTCCTGCGTTTTGTCAGTCTGGGGGCTTTTTTTGTTTTCTTTGTTGGGTTTTTTTGGGATTGGTTTGGTTTGTGGAGTTTTGGTTTTGTGTTCTTTGTTTTGTTTTGTTTTTTTCTAAGAAGCTCCTTTATTTCACGTTCTGCTGGGCTGTTAGTTTTAATTTTTTTAATTGTTATGATAGGGTGGGAAAGTGAAAAGAAACTCATATAGGTGATTGAAGTCTAAAAGGATCAATACAGAAAGGCAGACGCGTGCCACCTGTGAAGATACCAGGAGTGTATTTCTGCTTGGTGTATCTGCTTAGAAATAAGAGTATAGGTTATGTTTCCAGAAGTTTAATACAGGAGCAGATTAGGCAATTACAGGGTTTGCTGCTTTTCTGTTATTTTTACTCTCTACTTTACAACGTTCGTTACCCCAGCAGAGACTTCTCAGAATTTTTCTGTTGCTTAAATTATTTTTTACCATGGTCAGAGGATTTGACTTTTTGTGCTCTCTGCTGCATGTTGCTGCCTGGCTAGCTTTCATAAATTGGAAGGTTATCTGTAACTGAAAAGATAACAGAAGAAATAGTCTTACTATGTTTTCAAGCAAACATGATACTCAAAGTGTGACCTACCTAGCAAGCAGTAGTTTAAGTTTCTTTGTTCTAATTTAGGTAAATAGAGTAGTCATAATGGCTGCTAGAATAATGCCATTAGATTCGATTGACATTATTTGTTAAGGCAGTCATTCGTGTGTTGGTTTTGTTTGTTTATTTGTCCACGCTAGGCTGATAGGGAATTTTATGCTCAATTGAATGGTCTTTCTGTGGTGATGCAGGTCATAATTCTTGCTGAGTTATCACTCCGAAAGCTGTATGTGTTGAATAACTTCTCCATTTTGACGTGTCCTTAGCCTTGGATACTCTGATGAAATGAAATTCTTTGCAAGCTAATGATGCAGAACAATTTCTATAAGATATGTAAACTTGTCATTTTAGAAAATTAGAAGTACTCCTGAGAGAAATGTAGAGAGAAAGGTAGGGTATAAATGGAAGCTACTTTTCTATGTAAATAGAAAACATTATTGTAGTTGATGCTATTTCGTTGGGCCATGTTACTGTTCAAAGTAAAGATTGAAGACTATTGTTAAGATGATGTTCTGTTATGTAACGAATAATGTTTGGCTCTGTTAGAGTGGTGGGAAATGGAGAGGAAACTCAAATTGAAAGTGTAAATGAAGCACTTTTGGGGACGGGTGTATCTGAGCACATGATATTGCTGACTGTAAGAGAGAGAGTTTTACACTGTTAGAGTCTTCAGGTACACATTTCAGGGAAAGAAATTTTTATCTTCTCTCTGTATTACTATGATGACAGTATGCTAGATGGTACAGGTGCAATGATGTGAGAAGGAGAGCTGGAAACTACCATAGGGGTTGTAAAATCTCGTTTATTTCCATAGCTTTGTGTGACTCTTATTTTAAACATGGATGGGTTTTGACACTTTTAGTGTAATCTGTTTGCTCTGTTGCATCTCATGATGTCAATTTAAACACTATTCATTTCTTATTTTAATAAGAATGCTGTATTGGGAAAAATAGTTAGTACTTTCAGTTTTCTGATCTTTTCAGTTTATCATCTTGCTGCACCTGCTGAGGATGAGATTCATGAAAACTTATCCCATTATACTAAATGTACATTTATGTTGAATGTATGGCATATGGCAAACTGTCTATTTGGACTCATGTGGCTGCAAAATTAGCTTCCAAGAAGGCAGTGTTGCTGCTTCTCCAATTTTGACTATCAGTAAGTCTGATTAGAAAGGAACAAGGTTATCAGCGGGTAGACTGCTCTCTAAGAAAATGTCTGCTTAAGATTCAGAGCAGTTTTCCTTCTTTCTCCCTTTGTGATATCTGAAGTAATAGTGAGCTGCTTCTGTAGATGATCATGGCAGCAGTTTTGTCTTGGGGAAATCTGTGTTTATGTCCAAGAAATCTAGTTGCTACACTTGCTCCGACTTTCATGGGTATCTCCAACTTCTGTTAGGGCTGTTGTGGCAGTGTCTCACTTTCGTTCCATACTGCCAAGTGTGTAATACAGGCTGCCCTGAAGGACAAACTGAAGTGGCAGTTTATTGTCACTCTCCCAGCAAGTTTAGAGTCCCTGACAGGTTGTCAGTTAGAGCCCATATTGTTTATGTGCAATAAGATCCCTGTGTAATAGGAGCAAATCACTTTCTCCATGAGGAATTGATGAATTGTCTCATACAAAACAAGTTGGCTGGAGGGACCTGCAGAAAAAGGCCTTTGCTGTAAGCTTTTCTGCTCTCCCCTGTGACAGGCAATTTTCGGTGCCAGGGAAAAGGTAGTAAAATATACCATCACCTGCACTGACTAATTTGTTAATGAATTGAAAATAGAGATTATGTAGTAGAATGTATTCTTCATGTTCTGATCTGGAGAGTAAAGTTTGGTTAATAATAGGGTTTATCCTTGATGTGATGGTGGATAAGACTGAGTTCCAGTTGAAACTGTAGCTCCCCAAACAATGGGTTGGAACGCGTGTGTGAGAAGGGGAATAGATACATAAATATATAACAAAGTATATGTTAAAATGTGTTTCCATATATAAATTACGTAAAAATATAGAGAGACTGTGTGTAATTTTTTTATTTTTTAATATTGAAATCTACAGTTGGTTAGTTATGTAGCAACATCATTGATGAGGTAAAAAAAGCCAACTGAAGAAAAGTTTTTCGGGAGAGGAGTTAACTGAGCTGTTGATAATGCGGAGTCTCATAAGATTGAAACACCTGAGGAGCGTGACCAGGTTTTACAAACATGGGCTGTCTTGTTCAGTATGGTTGTCAAGAGAAGGCTACGTGGGAGGGATTTGATTGCTCTCCAGAGATTAGACTTGGGAGCCTTTCTAGTGAAGTGAGACTGCTGATGTGGAAAGAATGTAGATGGGCAAATTGTCATGATTGCTCTGTAAGCTAACTTTAACATTTCTTCTCATGCATTGTCTCTCCTAATACCACCTTCTGCAGACTACATCTGTCTTTCTCCTTGTGACTTCCTCATGAAAATGAGGTGTCAGAGTACTTCTCTAATGTGTTCTGTTCTACTACCTTTGAAATATTTCTGTATAGATCCTCAGTCAAGTCTAATGAGATGGACAGTCCAATGTCAGGAGAAGGAAAAAAGCTTCTGAAAAACTTTTTAATTTTATTGCTTCTTTCTTATGTCAGCTTCTGCCTGGCTCAAAAAATGAGGACAACACCAAAAAAACATTTAGACACTGACAACAAAATCAGAGTAGCACTTTAAAGCAGACTTTGTATGCTGTGAGTATCCAGCAGTATTCTTTTCACCTTTTTATTTTATGGTAGGTGGTATAGGTACAGAAATGTTTGGACTTTGTAGTTGGTGGCTTGGTGTTTGCTTGTTTGTTTTTATCTTCAGAACAGAGAGTTTTCTGAGTAGGTCATGAACATTTGAAAAAAAGACAAATAATCTGTGAACCATACTACTCAGCTGAAACTCCTGTTCAGCATTTCAAGCTTCCAACTTCATCTTTTCTCCTTGCACAAAAAAAAGTAGATGCACACATTTGTAAAACAATCCAGTGCCCTTATTTGTAAAATATTCACCATCTTAGAAGATTAGAGCTCAGTGCCCAGGGGAGTGATCACTTTGTGATCACCACACCCTGTGGAGCTTTACTGCCTTATTACTTTTTTCTTTTCCTTTCTGTCTATGTTTTTGTTGAACATGACTTGGAGTCACCTTGAAGTTGAAGCAGGGCAGGGGTGCAGAAGGACATTGCTTGTATTTCATCAGCATTAAGAAGTAATTGTGGCAGACTCTGCATGGCTTTCATGTTTATGAAGCATCTATTAGTACTGAGACTTATGCTGCCTAGAATATTTCCTAGAACATTTATTATTGCTTACTTTTTTTTTTGACAGAAGATGTATCTAAGAGCATAATTTTTATGTGGTTTTAGTTTATTTTCTTTCTGTTGTCAGCTATGGCTGGGATTTAAAAAAAAATAAATCTACTGGATCCTATTGTCATTACTTTAATTATGTCTTTATTACTTCTCCAGTGAAATTGGTATCTATACCTGTAAAGCTGGGAGAGAACAGAGTCTGAGTCCAGGCCACGGTTTTGAGCTGTTGCTGCGATCAAGCTTACAGTGATTTTTTTCATCTCTGCTTCTGCCTTGATGTTCAGTACTAGTATCTGTAAACAGTAGGAAGAGAATAGGCAGAGGCAAATGATAAAAGAAAGAGTAGCTGCCTGGCACGGTGAACTAAGTTTTGGAAGTATCCCCATTTCAGAAGTCTCTTGGAAGGCTTCAGTCTTTTAACAGCAGCAGTGTTGCAGTGGAGGTAAGTGTAATAGAAAACACACACCTGGGAGAATGTGGAATGTGGAAACAATAAGATACAGATGTCCTGAATTAATGACCCTGCAGTTTGTATGTATTCCCCATCTTTTTGTTAAACTCCAGGGGATCTTGTTACTGAATTTGTCAGTCACGGGGAATCTCAGAACAGATGCTAGATGATAATATTCTTTCACATTAAAAGCCATTGCTAAAGGAAGTCAGTAGTCCCTACTCATTCAGCACGCAGTCTCATTCATGACAGTCTTGCAGCTGTGTTCAAGGGCTTGCTTGGGCCATTTGTCTACCTTTCCATCTGAAACTGTCTTTTGAGACCTCAGGTGATAACAATTGCTCTGATCTTTTCTCTTCATAGACCTTCTGTAGCAGATACAGGTTTGACAATTTGAAAAGAGGGTATTTAATGCACCAATAAAATAGTTTGTAATTGCTGGTGTCTTAACTGAAAAAACTCCTATAATAACTTCAATGATTTTGCTTTTTTTGCTTACATATATTACAAGCATTGTGTGTTATGATTGCTACTGTAGTTTTAATTTATTTTTTTTAATGATCCAAGTGTTAATGTTAAAATAGGCCCTTAGCAGCCAACTTTTTTCCCTCATTTTTAGCTTTGATTTATTTATATAAATATAAATATTCTATTTATATTATATATAATATAAATAATACATTATTTATATATATGATGTGCTTAGTCATTGTCTGATTGTATTAATTCCAATTGGATTTTATTTATGGATTATATTTTTCAAAGTACTATTTCTTGCTTTTGAGACAAAATATAAATAGTTTGCTCCATGAAATGCACCGATTCAACAGTGTCAGGTGACTTAAATACTTTACTTGACTGACTCTTAGACTCGCATGTGGCTTTTTCTATGCCCCTGTTCATGGAAGATGCTGTGTGCCAGTGAACTCTTACGAGTATATGGTTTCTTGTATCCTGGCATGTGACTGAGACCAAGAAGTCAGACTGGTCTATTAGTGACAGCTCAGCTCATTGTTCTCCTTTTTTAGCTGCCTTTTTCTAGTGTTAGTGCTAACTGTGTGCCAACTCTAAATGTACTGATTGGAACCAGGCTTGTAGGAAGGTGTGTAACCCCATCTGGGATAGACACATCATACATGTTGACATCACTTTATGCTAACCATTAACTAGCCATAAAGATAATATGCTGAGGAGAAGACAGACCTGACATTGCTAAAATGGCCAGCTGGTCCTAACCAAACATTAATAAACAAGAACTTGAGAACACTAAGTATAACTTCCATTCAGTTTTCAGCCTAGGTCTAGACTTTGTTTATGTAAGGCTTTGCAAGAGGCATAACATGCTTTGAGAAAGATGATTAACACCATCCTGGTTTTAAGGGGTTGTTTTTTGGTTTTTTTTTTGAATAACTGAACTCGTACACCCAGATCTCCCCATAGAAGGTCTGTTGATCCTTTGAACTCCATTCTTTTTCTACTCCTGTAAGGTCCTAGGCATGTCAGATATGTAGCTTAGTATTTGCAGCCAAATAAGGTATGGCACAATTTCTCTGGCTAGCTAACTTTTTTCCTGTTTTCTTGAAGACCTGGCAGAATCCAGTTAGGGGAAGAATGTATGGAAGTCTTATATTCAAAATTTTAGAAAATTTGTAATAGCATCCATCTAGCTTAAAAGCAAGATATCCTGGTAATTTAACTGAAGGGAGCTAGTAACAGGAAAGAGTCAAAGACTTCTCATTGTATATTGCATGACTAAAAAACTAGTTTCAGGAAATACACCTTTTGGTCAGATTTTTCCCATTCTTCCAGTTATTTATTTCTAATACTTAAGCTTATTCAACAAAGAAAATGTTGTATGTCTGGTGAAAACAGCTGCTGTTTTGATTGCTGTGTTTCCTACTCCTGAACAAACTATAGCTTTTTTTCTGTGTAATTTTTAATTTGTAACTTGTTTGTACCTGAAGGAGTCTAAAGAAATAGAAGGGAAGTTCAGGTTGTTGCTAATAGAGGTGGGTTTTTTTTCCCCACCTGTACTTTTCAGCAGCACTTTCTCATATTCATTGGAAATGCTATATTTCTCTGCCTTAGTGTGTTTAAAAATAATTATTGAAATGCCTTTTGTCTCCGATTTAAGAAAATACAACTCTCAATAGATTCCTTAGGTGGGTCACATACCAAATTTAATCTGTGGTAGTGGAACAGAAATTTGCATCTCAAGAAATTAAGGAAAGAAAATTATAGTCATATCTGTGTTTAGCTTCTACTTTGTTTCAGCTGCTTTTGTTGTGGACTGTCTAGGTATTCCCAGTGCAAATACTTCAATGGGTTAAAGAAACAAATGGCCTTTTCACTAACATACTTTTTTTATTATTGATGGAGAAGAGTATTTTTACTGAATCACAAGTAATACATTCACGTGAGAACTCTGTCAGAAACTAGTGAAAATGTTTAGTGCATAAGAATTAGGGCTAGAACAGGAAAGAAGTGATTGTTATTCAGTGCCCTGCTGAAACTAAAGCATGCCAGTTGTCAGGGTTCTGATGTGGGCGGTTGTCTGTGGAGAGTTGGGGTGGTCAGTAAGGAGTCTTGACCTCAGTGTAAGGTAAACTTGAACAAGGATCTTAATGTTGAAAAGAAAAATCGAGATAAGGAAAAAAGATGTCTTTTAATCCACAAGAGGAAGGTTCAGAAAATGTCACATTTCTTTCAACAGTAAATAAATTGTAAATTAAATAACTGAGAGCTTTTTCTATGCTATTTAACAATAAAAGCAACAATATGCAAATACCACGTGCTACAATTACTGTCTTCTAACTATGCCAAAAAACTTTGACATCTTTCTGTAAGGCACCAGAGAAGTCTCATGAGTTTGGGAGGAGGAAGAGTACTGCCCAGAGGAGGAAAGGCATTTTTATTTTTGGCTTATGTGGTTTTTCTTTTTATTCCTCCTCTTGCCTCTTCTGCCTTGTATAATTAATAAGTTAATATTTCCCTCTTCATTTGGCTGTCTTGCAAAGGATGCTGTAGAACATCTTTCAGAATGGCTTTCTAAGAAGAATATAAACAGCTAAATCAGGACTGTTTTGCTTGTTATTAAGGTTTGAGTAGCGGATGCTAACTTATGCAGAGCAATTCAACTTCCAGGACATCATTAATGAGATTGCATTCTATATTCTCTTATTTGCATCAAGGCACAGATACGTCTTTTTATCTTAGGAGAAAATGAGGAGCTGGAAATGGCTTCTTTTACTGTATTATGTTTTATGCTACTCAATCTAAATTCCGTCTTAACTGCAAGTTGTGTGTGTGTGTGTTTATTTTGTTGGGTGGTTTTTTAATTCAAAAAGTCTGCTGTATAAGGAGGTAGAGCTTGGGGGACAAATTAAAAGCTGAACTACAGTCAGAATGTATTCGTTGGTAACTGGAATAATACACTCTTCCACCGTGAACAAGTAAATCACTAGAGAAATACAGAATTACATTATATCCTGGCTGTGTGCTGGCAAATTAAAACAAACAAACAAAAAAACCCCACAAACACATACCTGCCCCCCCACGCACACACACAAACAACCAAACCCACACAACCAACCAACCAAAACCCCAACTAAAACAAACAAACAAAAAAAAAATTAAAAAAACCACACCAACTACTAGCAATCTGAGGAATCACTAGTTCATGTCAGCTGATGGGACTGAGGGATGTCGAGAGTGAGACAGCTAATGGCACTGCACTCCCCACCCTCCGTTTCCCAGAAGACACACAAGGCTTTTTGATGACTTTCTTGATTATTTTTTTTTCTTATCAGTTGATTTGGTATTTGTGTTGTCCATATCAGTATGAAAACTTTGAAAAATCTGTGCTATTTGGATATGCTGATACGGTATCTGTCAAGTGAAAGTTGTTTGCAAGGTTGGAAGCTGCTTTTGAAAGTTAGATGAGATCCTCCCTGCTAAACTTTGCACAAGACAGCGAGTACTGAAGCCAGTACCTATGATTTGGGAGAGAGTTTACAAACAGTAACTACAATTATCTGAAAACAGCCTGAAAATGTGTCTCTGTCATTTAAATGACCCAACTATGCCCTATGACATTGCCATAAGTGGGCCTAAAAATTTACTTCTGCCAGATAAAATGGCCCACAGCAGTCAGCCTCTTAGAATGCAGAGCGATTCAGAAGAGATGATGGGAAAAGGTTACTTGCTGTGATGGACTGTCCTTTTGTTTTAATGTGCCCCCTTTCCCTAAGTAACTTAACTCCCGGTTATTCAAAACTACAGATTTTTTTGCCATTAAGCCTGGCTACTTTCCATGCAGCAGTTCTGGGGTTTTACTGAATTTTATTACAGTTATGTTTAAAAATTATAATGGTACTGTTTGACAATAGTACAGCTAATACAGTATTTTGAGAGGAGGAGAGTAATATAACTCCTCAATTAATCTCTGAGCTGTGCCATTGTAGTAGTAACAGTGGGAGAAACATCTTGCTGTGTTTGAAGATTGCATGAAATTAGAGCATAATCAAATATAGAAGCTGATGGTTTTTCAAGGAGAAATTCTTACTTATATTTTTCAGTACCACCAAAGGCGATGTAATTTGCTACTATGGAAACAAAGGAGAACCAGAACCTGTTTTCCTAAGTCCTGGTAGGTTTTCTTCAGAAAGGTTTGAATATTACTTGTTGTTTTAGAGGAGTTGGAATGTAGCTGTGTTGCTCTAGTAATTTAGCTATTTAAGCATTGTCTTCACTAACTTTTTCTTTGCATTCTTAAAAAAAAATAAAATATGAATGTCCTTAAATTCATTTATTTACTAATAAATTTCAGTAAAGAATCAATAGTTCATTAAAACTTTCTGTCCATGTCAGTGTACCCACCTGCTCTGCGATTAGTAGGATGCTCCTTAGGTAACTGAAGGACAGAAGTCTGTCTTGAGGAATGGAATTTTCAGAGGTTTGTGGACTTGACCCTGACTTTCCTTATCCAGCACTGTTAAGGGCGTAGTGTGACTAAAGGCATAGTGTGACTGTGCTCCCCTAGGGACAGAGTTGGCTTTAAAAAAAAATCAATTTATTTATTTGTTTTAGCAGGTGGATTGATATAAAATACTTAAAATCTAGTCTTTTGCTAGCCAACTACATAGAACAATACTTCAGAATTCGTCACCAAAAAGCCAATTTAAAAGGACAAGGACACATAGAAGGCTCTGAGCATTGTAGCTGGTTGATAACAGGTAACGACAGTGGCTTATTTTGCCTGCTTAGGTTAATGGTCAAAATGTTGCTGCCAGTAGGTAAATAGTTACTGTAGCAATTACAGCATCAATTGTTGGAAACCGCTATTAGATATTGTACAGCTACAAGCACAAAAGAGGTTTTAATACCAACACTAAAAAAAAAAAATAAAATTAAAATTGGCTGTTTATCGAAATGAGAAACTGAATTACAAATTTTAGGTATCTGCAGGCTGTAGCAAAGGTAGTTCTGCTCTCTATGCTTCAACAACAAATTCATTTTCTGTGTACATGGCTGCCTTTAGGGAGAGATGAGGTTTAGTGGTGTTTGTGCTTATTTGTTTGGGTTGTGGTGAGAAATATAGGGTACCTCTAAAGAGAAAGCTCTTTGTCATCAAATATTGCTTTGCAGTGTTTTTCAAAAGTAGAATCAGAGGTAAAAATAAATTATGATTAATATAGCTAAACTGGAAAAGACTAGACTGCAAAAATTATATAATTCTATTGTATGTTTTTCATAGTTTAGCAAACCAGAGCTTAAAAGTAACTGCTGCAAATATGGATTAGATTAAAACAGTGAAACCAAGTACTGAGTGTTAGTACAGGGAGGAGTGCTTAAGCACAGTCTAGTGTAAGATGCATACCTGCTGTAGTCTCCTGTTTAGGAACAGGGCATGTGCTTTATAGCATACCTGCAGGTAAAGATTAGCTAGGGAATCACTTAAGTTACATTAAAATTTGTGAAATCTGTAGTGACAACTGCAAATCACCAGAATACTGTTTCCAACTAAATTGATCATTTCCCCCTGCCACTCCTGAACATTTGTAGATAGTGTGCAGCTAGAAGTGGTCCACAGGGACTGGTCTCTGAACAGTTGATTGTTACTGCTTTTAAATCTTAAATTTATCACATAGCCTCCTTATTACACATTTCATTAATTTCATGACATGTAAAGCTTGAAGATTTAATGTTGCTTTACAGACATAAACTCAATATCATGATTACAAGTTATTTTTTGCGTAGGTTATATAATAAGCTAATGTTTCTATTAGTGTTGTGTTCTGGAGGAAAAAAGGCTTTGATATTTCACACCACAGTGTACACTGTGTTAATGACAGTGCTGCAAATCTCAAATTCAACTAATTTTAGTAAACTTAAAGCAATGATGCTCTGAAGTGGGTCTTTGGTTTTTGGTTGTGGGGTTTTTTTTGTGGTTGTGCCTTGTTTTTGTGGGGTTTTCTTCCCTAATAAAACAGTCAGAAGTAGTAGTCCAGAAGAGTTGTTGAGAAATGGTTATGTTATTTTGAGTTACACACCTGGGAGACTCCTACTATCTGGAGGGATGTTGTATTTATTTTATTACATGATATACATCTTAAGTACATGCTTTAATGACCTCACTTATTTTTGAACCAAAATGAAAGCTGGCAATAGGATAAATAAGCAAATTATCGTAAGAGATTCATAATGAATTTGATGATAGCATTTGTTTTCGTCTCTTGGACTGTGTGGGATAAGATGATGATGAATTTATTTTTTGTATAGTACTTAAATAATTTTCTTTGGTCCAGAGCTTAATAAGTTGTTTGGGTTTTGTTGGGGTTTTTCTATGTATAGGAATATATGGCTTGAGTAATTCTTTGTTGGATACACCATGGAAGAAACTTCAATATGGGAAGCAGCTTTTCACAGAAGTGGTCAAGAGAAGTCAAGACCTTACCAAAGAAGACTTGGTGCAGGAGCTTCTTGCAGTGATGAATAATCAAGAGCCGTAAGAAAATGATAGCCAGAGTTTACTCAAAATATGCTTATGACCAGTTTAAAAAATGCTTGTAGAAACTGTTTTGACAAAAAAGATATTTTAGCCTTATATTAATTGACTAAAGCTGGGTAAAGAAGGGCAAAAGTAGTGTTCTTTCTCTCCATAGAGACTGACTTTCAACAATATTGATTTTTAAGCAGGAGACACAGTAAACATTATTACTGCAGTCTTGGTACTCAAAGACTGTACACTGGTGTGTCTGTGCCCTTTTCTTTTAAAGATTGCACTTCTCTTAGTAAGGGTAATGAGTGCAAGACAAGGGATGTGTAAGTTGCTTGCTGTAAGCTTTGTGGAGGCTCTCTGTAGGGCAAGGTTCAGTTTCTTACACCACACAGAGTAAACACTTGTTTACGTGAGCACGTTTGTGTTAGTAGCTGCTAGCTCTTCTGTATTGCTATCCAGAGTGTAGACAGAGGGTGGAGAAGCATGCTATTTTCAAACTAGAACCAGCTTTCTTCCTCAAACGCACTTATTTTAGGCCGAATGAGGGAATGAGATAAGGGAGTGTTTGCACAGTTCAGCTGTGGTCCTCTGGTCAAGAAAGTTACCAAGAGATGAGTTTGAGTATCTAAGTAAGGTTCCTGGACTCACTACTGGCTACATAGTGAACCTGAGCCCATAAGCTAGATGTTTAGAAGTAAAGGAAATTGATACCATTTCAATGTCCACACATGGAGTTAGGGTAAAGGAGATGCTGTGGTCTAAATTCGTATTATTGCTCACCATCCAGTAACTTTGATATTTAGCCTGACTTTTACTTGTCTAGGGGGTGATCTGTGGTGAAGCAAAGCTGTTTCTGGTGTATAGGTCCGGTTTCCTGACTTTATCACACATTTTTAATGCCAATGCTCATGTTTGTGGTACTTTTCAGTGGTTCAAAATAAATATTTACACAAGAACTCTGATATCTGAGCCACAAGTAGTAATTGGGAAGTCTGCTAAGCTGTCTTAATTACATCATCTGACACCAGATCAAGTGATTTTAAAAAAAATTGCTATTTTTACCTTTTACTAGTAAAAAGACAAAGGTATAAGATACAATACAGTCAAAGTAATCTTCTCTTAATATTCAATAATTCAGTATGATCTCATCTGAAATCATCTGACTATAAAACAGAAATAGTAACTTACAAAAAGCAATATTTTAAACTGTCTGTAATCTTTCCAAAGCACACTTCAAGATGAAATGATCTTTTAATAATAAATATAAACACATGGGTATGTGCTAGCTTTGAACTTTCTTAAAATATCTTATTGCCTGTTACTTTATGATCACTTCGTGTGTGTTACAGGAATTAAGGGAGTGCAGTGGTTGGTTTACTCTTAGCATTCCCTTCTTTCCTGCTGGATACAGTTTTTGCCCTTCACCCCCTCTCTTCTGCTTGAGTCCTGCCTTTGACTGTGATCTCAGGGATGTACTGCAATTCCTTCCAGTCTTCTTAAAACTGCTGGGGGTCATTAAGCTGAGAGAGCAGTGTGTTCTGCAGAGTATACGAGAACTGTCAGTGGTGGAGTATGAGAGAGAAGCTGATGGTTCTCATGGGCTAAAGTGCCCTGCTGTGTGCCTTCTCTGTTACGTCATGGTGTGCTCCAGCCACGTGCCCAATACAGGAGTCAGAAGAGCTTAGTTGCCCTATTCGCACCTATTCTTGCTTCTCCCTGAAACACTCACAGGTCCTCTACCACAGCAACGAAGTGAATGATCCCAGTTACATGTAGAGGTCAGTTAGAGTATAACAAATTGCACAGCCTCCTCTACAGATCAGGATGAGCTCTGAAAATGGGGTTGAATTGATCAGTCTGGTTTGTTATGCCCTTTTCCCCAACATTCACTGTACAGCTGATAGGCTGCTGAATTATTATTTTTTTAATAGGTACAAGTGGGTCTGTGCTAGGAGGCAGAAATGGGATTATTTCTTTAAGATGGAAGCATCTTAAAAATCAAACACAAAAACCTGCTATAATAATAGTCAAATCGGACTTTAAAGATTCCAATTTTATTTGTCACTGAAGTAGGAAGCCTTACTTATGGCTAGTACTTGAGAATATGTTCTGGTGATGTGAATGGAAAGCCACGGATGTGGGATTGCTGCAGTAACCTTTGTGACTTCAGCATTTCTTCTGTGGGATGCTGATACTTGTTTAATTACTGTAAGTGAAGCTTGATATGCTTTATAATAAGTTATGTTTCTAAATATCTTTCAAGCTCTAATAGGAATATGGGTCAAGAAACTTGGGCACAAGCTCACCTTGTCCTCTGCTGCATTTTCATGAATTTAATTTTAGGGATTGTCCTGAGTATTTTCCAGGTGTTCCAAATAAGATCAAAGGAAGCAGAGAGGTTGTCTATGACACAAAAAGAACTCCTGGAGTCTAACTGGGAAAATGCTGGTTTATGTGATGTGCCTCAAATTACTTGATCATTAATGTTTTAATTGAAACTAAAATACAGACAAAGAATAACAAGGAAAGTGAAAAACTTGTCAGATACCCAAAAAATGCTCTCTTAAAGTGAGACAAAAGTTCAAGAGCTTGAAAGAATCTCTTTGGGAACGAGCTTACAAACTGTTTTATCTTTGGTTTTCTCCATACTTTAGTTTCGAATATAGTTCACACTTTTGTACTTTTTGAAAAGTGATTGTTACTTTTCAACCACTCGGTCAACACAGCTTGGTTCAAAAGGGATGAATGTGTTAACAATTAAGAATTCAATTTATTTTTTTATTACTTTATTACTTTTTTCAGTCAACTACCAGACCCTGCGATTGAAGACCAAGGGAAGGATTATATACGTCCTATATTGAATAAGTACGCGGCTGTATGTGTTCGTTGCCCAGGTTATGGAACAAGGTAAAAAAATCATAGTCCGAAATAGATGTGTACTGGATCAAAGCATATCTCAAATCAAAATTATGCTGCTGTAATTTTTAATTCTATAGTGACCGCTTAAAGTTTGTTCAGATAGTAATCAAGTATAATTCAGTGAAGTATTTTTTTCCTCAGTATTGCGGCATCTTAGATTTGCTACTGATGAGCATTTTAAGGACACATTATGGTTCGTCTTTGGTGGGGAGTGTGACACAGCTTCAGCTTGTCCAAGACAAGATAGTACAGTTCTCCTGGTTCCCCAGGGTAGTAGGAGATCTGACTATTCTTATTTTGATCTTATCAAAACATGAAAAGCTTTGAAATCATGTTTTTAGCAGAAAAAACACAAATATCTTCTGAATCTGTGGAACTGCAGAACACATTTCTCTTCCAAGACCAAGAATAGTGTCATCTGCATAGTTAAATTAGAGGTTTTTTTAGACGTGTCATTGATGTGTAGCTGCCATTTTCATGCGTTAAAAACCTATTACTCTTGTTCATAAGAATGTGTGTTTCGACTTTTCCCCTAACTGATGCTGCTGTCTTTAGTGAGATACTCTCACTTTCTGCTCAGACTGTTCTACCGAAGTTGCAAGAAGAATAGAATAATGCAATGCATCTAGCATTTGATCTTCAATGGGACAAAATTATAGGTGAACCCTGTTGCTGCTGGTAGGGAATTCCTACTCTAAGTCTGCCAATGATTTTGTCAGATTGCGCGCTCTGGCATAGTGAGCTGTGGTATTTCTAGTGTAGAGATGTAAACTGATAAGCAGAGAACGCTCACTTCTGTATTTTAAGTTGGTATTCTGAGAAGGAAACCACTGCAAAAAAGGAGTATGTCTATAAAATGTATTCAAAGAACATCTTAAATATGGAATAATGAAGACTTAAAATAGTAAAGAAACATCTTCCTTCCCTTGCTTCTCATGTTGCTGTCTAGCTATTTCAAAGGAAACAGGGATAACTCAGTAGAAATACTGACCTCTTACTGGTGAATTAGCACTAGATTTCAAGTCTTCTCTGCTACTACAATTGTATGCTCACACTTACCTTTCCCATAGCAACATGGCTTAGTGAATAGAGATTGTTAATTACACCTCACAGTAATCTTCTGAGGAAATTCAGCACTTTTTTACATGAGTGAACAACTGTGAAATGACTTGGGGAAGGCCACCATATCAGGATGGTGGACAACTACTTCTGTCAGTCATCTCTCTCTGGCCAGGGTTACTGCAGGGTCCACAGAGAAATGACAGCTTACACATGACAGAGTGGCATAGATGCATGAATGGAATCTGCTTTTTGTGAAAACGAATTTCTTCTTTGGAAGATCCCCAGAGAGAGAAGAGTTTTTCTGCGATTGTGTAGCAGTGTTTGATGATAATAATTAACAATGTTTAAATCTTAATGGAAAATTGATTTGAAGGGAAAGAAAGAAAGAGTACTATTGATATGAATAACCGTCAGGGTGCATGTAGGCTGTAAAGAAATATTTGGGTTTATGCTACTTTGGAGTTGAACACTTGACACTAAAAAAAAAAAAAAGTTTAAATGAGCAGCTTTGTGTGTCAGCTGCTACAAGTGCAACAGGGAATCAGAGCAGTGGAGTGATGGAAGAAGGGACTGAAAATGCCCATTTGAACTTGCCAGGGCAACTTCTGCCCTGCTAATGTGGTGGTGATGTGGTCAAGAAAAAAAATGAGCTCATACTTTTGGGGATGAGGGGATGGGACCCTGCAAATTTATGTAATGGACACAAGTCTTAACCTTCTACTCTTATGTTGTTTCAGGACTAACACTGTCATTCTCATTGATTCAGAAGGACGAGTTACTTTCACAGAGCGCAACATGATCAATGCAGATGTCAACCAGTGGAAAACAAGCACCTATGAATTCGAACTGCACACTTAACAACTTTCCATTTGAATGGTTTGTAATAATAGCAATGAGAAAACAAGCCATTAAGCTCTAGTAAATGTTTTGTGCCAGCCTTCACAAGCTAAAAATAGCAGGGAAAGCAAAATGAACTGGTAGCGTGCTCTGTCAGGCTCACAAATCCCTTGGATAAAACCAAAAGAAGAAACTGTTTCTACATTAAGTAGCAGCTTATCAGAAATATTTTTTTAATAATGCCCTGCCCAAGACAAAGTCATTGCCTTTTTTTTTGGGTGGGGTGTGTGTGTGTGTTTTGGTTTGGTTTTTGTTGTTTTTTTTTTTAAAGATGTTTTAGGTAGACTCTTAAACATGTTTTCAGTTCCAAGGATGGGAAACATTTGCTGCTTTTACTTTTCTATCTGAAGGTTTTACCAAACTGTTCTTTCTCTTCAACATACGCTTTTAAGCTGATGCCAGTGTGTGTTAAATGAAGGTATGTTATCTTTGTAGCATTAAGTGTTTTAGTAACATTTAAAATTCTCAGCAGTGCCATGGTGCAATGTACTGCCCAGGGAGGGCAGAGCAGGGTGGATTCTTTACATTTGTTTTCCTACAGATAGTACAGCAATAGATCTTATTTCTAAAACTTGATTTGACGGTAGATAGGAAATTTAGTTCAGTCTCTGATCGGTTTTGCTGAAAAAAAAAATCATGGGAGCAGACTTGCTTACCTTTGACTGGAATAAAATTGTTTGTATTGTGACATCTTGTTTCCCAGTAGTCTAATTAGCGATATTGGTTTTCTTATTCCCCAGCAGGCAGGTAAGGAATAGGTATTTGTTAGCAAACAGAAGCTGAATATGAAGTTTATATGTTTTGTGTGTGTGCAATTTTGGCTTTATTTCTTTATTGGTATAATATGTTAAAGCCTGGAGTGACTGCTCATAGACATTTGGTCAAAATAGTTATTTGTTGTAAGGTGACATTACTGCAGTCTTATATTGCTGAAAACTTTGGGTATTAAGATGCACCTCTTATGTTCTAACATCTGTGAATTAAAAAGCTATTTAAATGCATGCTTTTTTCATTTATTCCTTGTCAGTGTAGGTGATAGAAGATTCTAGCTAATATCAAGATATTTTAAAAACCTAAGTTATTTTGCCGTTATTGGTGTTCTGTTTTGACTTATGTTGAATGCTGAATATCAAGTTAGTAATGGATCACTGCTATTTTTTCTCTATATATGCTGAATGTGTTCCTTTTGCAAGCCTCTGATTATTAATTACTACAAAGTAGCAAGATTTCTGAAACTCTTCACAAAGATGTGCAACTGTTCTGTGCCCGAGCTTAGGTGTTCAGGCATTCTCACTAGTGAGTGTGTATCTGTCTGTAATGGAGGCAGCAGTAAATTAGACGCGGTGTTGAGGTGAAGTACTACTGTGAATGGCCGTTCCCAGATTTCTAATTGCCAGGAGATGCTAAAGCAGCATTTAGTCAATTATTTCCTTTGTATTTGCATATTGAAGTAGCTTCCAGATACCAGGACTGCTTGCATGACTAGTCACAGATTGTTGATTCAGTACTATATAAATGACTTTTTGACCACCTTGATTGCAAGATGATTGGTGCAGTCTTGTTGGATTGTACATGGTTTCAAACTTGGATCTTTCCAGACTCTCTTTCTGAGCTTTAGGAAATGGTTAGCCCTTTTTTATCTTTTGATGACTGTTTAAACCATGTATTTGTATGAATAAAAATGTTATTGTTATTTTTAGATGCAGAGAAAGAGCCGTAGCTGTCTTAAATTTAAATTTGACAAATGCATTTAAAAAACAAAACTCTGCTTGAATGGCTTAATCTTACTGAGAGTTTGCATAGCAAACTTTTTTATATCTTAAGAAAAAAAATTGCCAGTGTATATTTGAACAAGACCTTGTCTTTAAAGACATTACCTAAATGGCAAACAAAATGCTTGCATACCACTTCATGCTAAAAGCATTTATAAACCTTAGTTTTTATAGTAGTCCCGCAATAATAAAGATTTATTCTTATTTTTTACATGTAGGCAAAGAAAAAGCAAGTCAGAGCTTAGATGTAAAAAGAGATGATAATAATGTATTTTCCTTTGCCAGAATCAAAATTCTAAATCCAGGATTTGCTTTTGTCTGGCAATTAAAATAAACAGTAAAGAATCAAAGCCTCTGATGTTATTTTTTATTATGCCAGCATAGTTAATAAAGTGAGCTTTTTTAACTTCTGAAGCTTATGAGAGTTTTTTCACTGGCTTCAGTGGAAACAAGATCAGGGCTGCAGTGTGGATATCAGCAAATGGTGCTTGTCCATAGAAATTACCAGGTATTCATGAAATGCATAACTTACTGTGTGCAAATCATAGTTGCAATGAATCCACTAGAAAAGTAAACTGTCATTAAAGTTAACAAAGTATTTTATTTTTATAGAAGCATTTTTAAGAATAAAAGGGGATTTTAAATATGAGTTTTAAAGGATATAAAGGAAAAACATGTATATAGGAAACTATTGCATGGCATTTTACTAAGTTTGCTCATATATAACATCTTTTCAAACTCATAAATTTGCAAGAGATTTTCGTTTCCTGTCTTTTTTTCTATCAAAACAGTAGTGGAAGAAATTGGAAAATACTGTAAAGAATCAATTTTTTTTTTTTGCTTAAAATTTTTATAATTGTTGTTTACATGTGTGTTCAAAGCTAGAAATGGAATAAAGTCAATCTGGTGACCAGTCTTTGTCAACATTAATAGATTGTGCATTTTTGCACATATGTTTATGTTAATTTGCCTGTAACTGTGTGTGATAAGATGAAGTAAAATTTTAATGAGGAGATAGCAACAAAAGAACTTAATGTCAATTTCTGGTACTTCATTCCTTTTTAAGAGTGCTGTATTTTTCTGGGGATTTTGTTTGGTTTTTGTTGTTTTGTTCTATCTGTTGTGCGTTTTTTAATTCTATGCTGTTGCGTGGTTATACTTGTCTTATCCAGGTAAAAAAGCTGGAAAATATCTCTTAAACGCTAATAATCCAGATTTGGGGCATTTTGCTTTGTTTTTCAGGTTAGTAAACAGAATGTATTTATTGAAATGTTCCCAGCCCAAGTATCATAGTAATCAGTTCTCTGAAGTACTCTCCAACTTTTGACAACCAGTATGTGCCCACCATCTCCCCTCCTAAAAGCAAATGTCCTCTTTTTACTAGGCCTGGCTGGATTCTGCTCCAAGCACAGCAAGATCAGGTAGAAAACACAAAGGTTCTCAAACCCTGACTGTCTGAAACAATGTCTGGAGCATCCCTCTTCCTGCCATGACCTCAAGGTACTTAGAATCTGCCTTCTCCCTTGCAGACTGGAGTGGATCCTTCAAATTTTGATACCAGAATGTGCCAAGCAAGCCCTTAAAGGAAGAGGGACTGGCATATTCTTGCGTATAAAATGGTGGAGCCATCTCAGAGCTAGTTTTAGCTTTACAAGCAGTGACCTTTTCAAACTGACAGTCACTTTGAGAAGACAAGCAACTGGTATTGTCATTGTTAAGGTGGCCAACCCAAATGAAATCTAGGGGAATTCGCAAAATCTGCAAAATGAAAAAGCATTATTAACTCTCAGGCCTCTAAAGTTGTCACTGCCAATTGTCTGTGCAACAAGATAAACTTGGTTGGGATTACTGGTCTTGAAATTAGATGGTTGCATCAAATTTTTGTGGCAAGAGAAGTTACTAATTATCAGGAACCTTGAAAATTAGTATAATGGTAAATATATGTTAAAAAGTACTTTGAGGGGCTCAGATTACCCCCCAAAAATTGAAATAACTGCAGCAGAGATGCAGTACAGACAATAGGAAGGAAAGAGCAAAACCACTGCTTCCTTAGTGAAAAGCCAGAGCCTCACAAAGTGTTACTGAAGGGCAAGAATCCAGGTTCACTGTGGAAAAAGTCTGGATCCTGGGCAGACCTAGGAATCTCTTTTTACCCTAAGTTGAGACTACCTTAATGTTCTGCCATATATGGGCATTGGGGTGGAGATGTAATTGTCTTGTCTTCCTGTTACCAGTAGCTTTAATAAATACATTCTTAACAGACCAGAGAATGAGCTAGGTCTTTGAAGGCCCTCAGTATGTTCAAAACTTAACTGATATTTATTATTACCAATGAAATGCGCCAAAATAAATATTAAGACAAAATATTAATAAGACTTGGGACAGTTTTCATAATATCATAAGGAAGTAAGTAATTGCAAAATGATTACCTACTAAGCAGTAATAAGGCAGTCATTAATGCATCTTATGTTTTAAACTTAGCTTGAAGAACTTAAATAATGCACATTTATGTCTTAGCAAGCATCCGTATTTATATGGAATATTAGCTACTAGGAATTAGTTTTATATCACTTAGATTCATGTAATAGAGTAGTGCTAATGTTCTTCATCTGATTCATTTTCTGCAGAGAAGTCTTGTTGATAGGTTCTGAGGATTTAGGAAATGCTCTTGACTTGGTGAAAATAGAATCTGTATTGTCATCAGCTGGAAGGGCAATAGAATAAACCATGAGAATTGCATAACCCATCGATAGGACTCATGCTGTGAAATATAAGTTAAGGTGAACAGAGTGAAGAAAATATTGAATATATAAAATGAGTACGTTAAGTAACTATCTCTGGAACATCCTGTAACAAAACTTTGAAACTGAATGAAAAAGCAGTAGCACATCAAAGTACTCAAATTTACTGTATCTTTTAAAACAGAAGACATAAGGACTGAACTTAGGGTCATAGATGCGGGACAAAAGTAATAATGAATTTAAACTTTTATATTAAATAGGATAGACAAGAATTAAAATCATTTAAGTCATCACTTAATGAGAAATTAATGAGAAAAACAATTTTTGCTGATCCAAATTAAATTTTTTTGTCTGTGCTAGAAAGATAAATGGAGAAAAACAAATACAACCTAAAAACAGTTGGAGAAATGGAGGAGAAGGCCATACTTAACTTAGCAGAGAACAAATATAATGAAGAAAATCCATTCTGTTGAAAGATGTTCTGAAGATGATCTGCAAAAGCTTTAATAGAAAAGAAGTGGCTGTTTTACAGGTAGACAGAGATAAACAGTGTAGCTT